AGCATTAATAGAAGATGTCTCTGTCAACTCCTTTAAGAATGTCATAAAACGTATGTCCTAATCCATTGGTCCTAATCTATAGTGTAATTAATTGCATCCATGTAAATAGTTTATGTAAGTGGCCTGTTTTTCTCGCTTTTAGATTTCCTTTTTTTTCTCTTTTTTTTCTCTCTCCAATTATGTAAATATTTTAATGAACTCACGGCCCTTTGAAAAACAGATGTACTTCTGAAAGGCTACCGTGATTAAATAAGATTAAATAATAATAATAATAATAGTACCAATTTCTTGGGACTTTAAATACAATAAAACGGTGGCTATTTTGAGGCCAAATTCAACAAAAGATAATGATGAAATATAGCACGAACATGTATGGCCGCCGTGACATAACGTGGCGATACTGTCGTCATCTTCGTTCCCTATAGCATGGAAAGAGGCAGAAGTTATCCCTTTGTTAAAGGATGGAAACCACGAGGAAGCATCAAATAACCGCCCACTTTCTCTCCTTACCTTTCTTTCGAAAATTTGTGAAAAAGTCGCCTTGAATCAATTTGGTTCGTATCTAATGAAGAACAAAAAAATTGTCAACCCACCAGAGCGGGAACAAGAAACATCACTCATGCGAAACATTGAATCTTTTGACCGGAGATACTATCCTAAAGGCCATGGATGGGAAATTGGTTACTGCACTGATTCTAATAGATCTATCTAAAGCTTTCGACAGTGTAAATTATACTTTTCTCCTTACAAAACTTAGCAACGTCGGGGCTTCTCCAAGCGTTGTAAAATGGTTTGAGAGTTACTTGACCGGAAGAACTCAATCAGTCAGAATTGGATCAACTGTGTCTACTCCTCTCCCTGTTTCTTATGGTGTACCACAGGGTGCAATTTTATCACCTTTACTTTTTAGTATTTATACTAACGATTTGCCCTCATCAGTCCACCATAGTAAACTTGAATCGTACATGGACGACTCCAAGATATTACTATCTTTCACTGTGGCTAACGTGGACTGTTTAAAGCAACAACTTGAGGAAGACTTGTATTTGATTGCAAACAGTTGTTCCGAAAATGAATTGCTTATTAACCCGGGAAAGACCAAATACATGCTGATTGGCACACGGCAAAACCTACAACAACCTCCCGTAGATATGACCATAAACTTCCTCAACGAGACTATTACCCCCGTCTCCTTTGCCAAAGATCTAGGAATGACAATCGACTCTTATTTGACATATGACCAGCACATCACCAACCTGGTTTCCTCATGTATGAATTCCCTGTGCCAAATAAACCGAGTCAAAAAATGTTTCGATAAAGAAGCTTTAACTCTCATCGTCTCGGCACTTGTAATGAACAAAATGTTCTATTGTTCAACGGTTTGGTCAAACACTTCGTCTACCAACATTAAGAAACTACAGTTGGTACAAAATTTTGCATGCAGGATAATAACAAATATTGGAAAGTTCGACCATATTTCGCCGGGCTTACGCGAACTTAACTGGCTCCCAGTAAAGGAACAATTACTACTAAGAGAGGCTATTATGATGTACAAATGTGTCAATGAACTTGCTCCACATTATTTGAGCGATTTATTCACAAAACGTTCTGACATTCATCAACGAGATACACGTAGCCATGACTCACTGCAAATACCATTGTACAAAACTTCTGCAGGTCAAAGGTCCTTTCATTATAGAGGCGTTACACTCTGGAATGATTTGGACATTAAGTTCAAAAAGTTAGACTCCCTAAAAACTTTCAAAAACGAACTGAAGCGAAGCATGCTAGAACAAATATATAAGTAGATAATTTTACCTTGTTAAACTTTATACAAATGTCTTACCTTTTTACCTTAATTTAAATTCTAGATTCTAAAACTTGTAAATAGAACAACATTTATTTTTTGTAAATCAGTGTTGAAAATCCCTATTTAGGGAACACAATAAAGTATGTATGTATACGTGCGGTTTAATTCCCTTAAAGTGTATTGGCAACAAAAAATTTTATTGATTTTATTGCTTCATCTGAAAGAGCATGAAAAAATAAGCCGATTGGCCGTTTACTGCTCTATTCTATCTCATCTGGTTCCGAAGTTATACCCAAAAATGTGAAAAATATAAATTGCTGATTCAGCACATTCTGTGACGTCATAAGCTGGGTAAGTATGTTTATTGAATAATAAACTAAAGCATAGCTGAGTTATTATTGGCTCAAATCAAATGAAATTTTGCATACAGATAGTACATGATGAGATGCATGGGAAAATACTTCTAATTTCGTTGTCAAGGCAACACAGTCGTTCCCAGGCCTCTTACACTGATTTTGAATAACTAGTTGCATTTATCTATGTGTATGTCATTTTCGAATTATTATCATGCAAGTAAACTTTTTGCATGCATAGGTATCATACACATACTTCTGATATTATTTTATTCTTATCAGTACCTTGAATAAAGCTGTTTCATAAAATTGGCGCAAGGGGCCTGGAAACGACATTGTTACCTTGGCAACAAAATTAGAAGTGTTTTTCCATGCGTCTCATCATGTACAATCAGTATCCAAAATTTCATTTGATTTGGGCCCATAATAACTGAGCTATGCTTCAGTGTAGTATTCAATAAACATACTTACCCAGCTAATGACGTCACACGTTGTGCTGAATCAGCAATTTATATTTTCACATTTTTGCGTATAACTTCGGAACTAGATGAGATAGAATAGAGCATTAAACGGCCAATCGGCTTATTTTTTCATGCTCTTTCAGATGAAGCAATAAGATAGATGAAGCAATTTTTGTTGCCAATACCCTTTAACGCCCACACAGACCGGACGCGATTTGGCAACGCGACGCGAATTTTCAGTTTTCCATGACATTTAACTTTAATATTTTTCAATGTTTTTCAAATATTCGGAACCACTTAAGCAATTTTGGCTATCTGCATATCTTGTAAAATGTTTATCCGTTGACGGTTTTATTTGTTTTTGAAAACTGAAAATTCGCGTTGCGTTGCCGAATCGCGTCCGGTCTGTGTGGCCTTTAATCGTCGAGAACTTATATAATTTAGTTGTTCAAATAACTGATGTTTTCTGATTGGGTTACTGTGCAGGGAGAAAATTGGGGTGAGATTCTAAGATTCACCGATTCGAAATCACTGAACTATATAACAGAACGGTATATGGTTCACTGTTCTAAGTAAGTACCACGAGATGCCTGCGGAAGAGGCTAGGTATTATATAGAATTTATTTGAGGAATTTCGCTACGTATCTTGGTATGTTCAGTTTTGTTAGATTATAAATATATAAAGTATGAAAACGTACCGCCAATATCAATGACACCTTCTGTACTTGTAACTGTAATCCAAGTGTTTACTAGATTCCTTTACTACCACGATTGGACAACGGAAATGCTGTAAAAAAATTGCATTAGTCAGATACTGTAGCTATAATTTCAGTTATATTCTCTCATAACATTAAACGATTAAAAGGGAAACGGTCAATAAAGATATTCATTTTTCCACTATGAACAACGGAACAGGCAAATAGCTAATTATGCAATATTCAATATTTTTGCTGTACATCTCTTAAAGAAGGGTTACAGTCCGTTCTTCGCATGTGCGAATTTTTGTTGACGTAGACTACTCATCTCTTGTTTCCATGGTTTCTAGCCCGATTGCGTAATATACGCTCAATTCCATATTGTTGATACAACAGGTGGGAATACACAGTTTCGAAAAGATTTTCGCGCGTATATTACGCAATCGGATTAGAAACCATGGAAACGAGAGATGAGTAGCCTACCAAAACAAAAAGAATCGCACATGCGCAGAACGGGCTGTAACCCGTCTTTAAGTACGACATTAGATGTGTTAGATATAATTAGGCAAATCGCACCGTCACAACTCTACGGATTAACTGCTAAAATAGAAAGACTATACATCTATTCAGCGCACGTACAGAGTTTTACTGAAGTAT